ACATATATATATATGATGTCACGCAATCCCTTTTATTGAGATAAAATTTTACATAACGTAATTTGACATAACGTAACATAAGGAATTTGTTAATCTGTGATTGATTCTTATCACACCATTATTGTCGATGATTAGGCTATACTGTGGCGAATCTAGACGTCTATTCGCACTAATATCCACCCATCAGAAGTACATGATAGAAATGTTATGTACGTTTACGCACGCCTATCTTCGCCCTTTCTCACATTATGCCCTCACTCTCTGTTGTGTAGTGTGCGTAGCCATGCGATTCGTTCTTCTCGGCTGATGCGATGTTTATGGGTAAGTCCATGGAGATTTACAGACAGACTAGAATACGAATCTAATGTGTTATTTCTCGGAGTAAATCGATCGAATGATTACATGTCGTGGAGCGTGTGGGGGCCGCGGCAACTGCCTTGCTTCGGATTCTGTAACCGTAGTTCTACCAGTGTAGTTATTTCGCTTCCGCTACATGGTTAGAGTTCGGGTTCAGGTTAAGGTTAGGGTTATGGTTATGGTTTAGGGTTAGGGTTAGGGTTAGGGTTATGGTTTAGGGTTATGGTTATGGTTTAGGGTTATGGCTTAGGGTTCGAGATTAGGGTTAGGGATTAGGGTTAGGGTTAGAGTTATGGCTTAGGGTGAGGGTTAGGGTTAGGGTCTACGGTTATTGTTGCGCGGGAGAATATTGTAGACTGCCGATCATCCTAAAAGCTTTCCATGAAGGGACACCGTAAAAAAATATTCACGAAGACTTCGACTGCATGCATACTCAACATTAAATGGTCGATGTAATTAAATCTCACTTCACAGTAAATATTTCGATATTTTTCCAGCTCTCGGTAAATATTTTTATTCCTATCTAAGTTTTGTTTATAAAGGTACTAAACTTTACTTTTTCGTTTTTACTCTACCGTCATTTTTTAGGAACGAATTCGACTTCACGAAGGCGAAAAATTACGTCTGTCGAATAAACCGTTGTTTGTGCTAAGGTTGTAAAACACGGCCATTTCGCGTTTCATGATTTACCCCATCAACACCCTCAAACACATGTGATAACATGAAATTTATTTGGTCCTCGGCTGCGAATGGTTTGCCGTTTACAACCGGCGGCCGTGCGTGTATAGTCGCCAATAGGGGACGCCACTGTGCAATAGTGAATCGAAACTGCAGGCGACAGATATCCACATCCAAGTGTGGCCTTCAGCCACCGGGGGCCTAGGGCCTCGCTGGCGCAATTGATGCCGCCTACGGTAAGCATAATCTTTGCAAAATACGATTTCTCACGGGAGATATTGCGCATGCGCGCGCACCGTGTTAGGCCGGGCAGTTGCCGGGACCTTACATGCATGGTCTTCCTCCTATTTCTTAAATGATGTCATTGATGGAATGTTATCATATAAATCTATGCTAGGATAACTCCTCTTCATTTTAAATGCATAATCTTTGCGAAATACGATTTCTCTCGGGAAATATTGCGCATGCGCGCGCACCGTGTTAGGCGTGCAGTGCCATCTGAGGCAAACTTCATAATATAGCTCGCTGAGGGGGAGAGGGGTTGGGAGACTGAGGAAAGGCGGCAGGGAAGATAGCTGGGGGCGGTAGAAGAAGAAGGAGGCTGAGCGAGGGACAGTGGATGCAAAGGGAAGGACGCGAGGGCATAAAGTAGGTGTTTTGTACCCTACATTCTAGGGCGCTCTCCCAATTATAAACACATGTCAACTGATAAAAGTTTAATTGGGAAATCTATGCTGAGATACCCCCTAAACATTTTAAATGCATATTCATCACAAAAGATAACTCCTCTGGTGAGATATTGCGCATGCGCTAACACACTAACGTAGCCAGATTGTGTAGGCCTACTGGCTGG